GTTACTTATAAATTCTATACTAATAGTAGTGACTTAGCCATAGTAAACGATAACATGATGAAGTGTAGCAAGACGTTTTCATTCACATATTAATCAGTTCCACTCCAAAATTTTTAGGCCTTTTTTAGCCGTGGTTTTTCTATACGGCAAGCTGAAATGGTTCAAGATAGAACGTTAGATTCTTTAAAAAATACCCATACACTTAAAATCGACATGGTTGTAAGAGTTTCTGCTTCTCATCTGATCAAAACTGCAGTTATGGCAATTGAAGCTTGGGATTGCGACTGCAAACTTCATTGGATGACTGTGATCGATTCAGGCTTATTGTTCTACTTCTATGGAATTGAACAAAAAACAAACCGATTAGGATTTGTCATGGTTTTTACTACTACCATTTTTCTTGAACGTGACATCAAAAACTGAGCACAGAGAGAGACAGACACATTATTTTACACACAAAGCACAGTAGGAATAGACGCCAAATATTCTCCTATCTCAAGTCATCATGATAAGTAACAATTAGCAGGGCGCAGACTTGGGGATGGAGAGGGCAGCCACCCCCACTAGACTTTTCGAAGCAAAATTCAAAAATAAGCTTAGTTAATAATCGTTAATAACCATAACGTGATTTTTTTTGGTCACTTATGAGTGAAAGCCTTGTCTCAGACCCACCCCTACCACACTATGAACGTCGATCAAGAGCTGCGCCCCCGTCGCTCATCATTACACAGTTGAGTCATGAAATGTTGCCCCCCCCCTAATTTGCCTACGGCCCTGCATAGGCTACTAGTCTAGGACTAAAATGATGCTATATCAAAGCCTAAATTAAACTGCAAGACAGCACATATTATATAACTTGAACTAGTACTTTAACTATAATCTGTCACACGACAGATTTAGATTCACCAAAGCTTCAAATTAATGTTTTTCTTATGTCATGAACACATGTCATGGGCACAAAAATGTACGATTAAAGTTAACAAATAAATAGCAAAATGCATGACATACTCTGGAATGCCGGCCGGAATTGCTTTACATTTAACACAAAGAGGAAGGCAAACATATATAGAGAGAATAGTACCTTCTACAGGAGACTCCTCATGCCGATACTCAGTGTCCACGTGCAGCTGTGAATACGCCTCTGGAATAGGCTGACCAATCTTAAGTAGTCTGTAGGAGCGAAAAATTAAGATGGCTGGACATCGCCACGCGACATGGTAACCCTATACTGTATACGCTGTATATTTCGCGGTGGTTTAATTATCGCGAATTTCGCGAACGTGTACCCGGCCGCAAAAATAACAACATGCGAATAATTCATACCGAATAATACCGAATAATTCATAATTCACCGACCGCGAAATTGTCCATCAAGTCTGAATTCGCGAAAATATCTGTACGCAAAAAATATGGCGTATACAGTATATGTAAACGTGACGTGGTGACTACACTACATACTGTACCGATTAAAAATATACATGCAGAGATCGCAAACGATGCTGCAATAAGCAGTGTCACACGATCACGTCTGCTGTCACTAAAGCTGTGGACACACTACACGATTTTTCAGGCGATTGAGTCGGGGCGACTTAGTGGACACACTAGGCGATTTTCAGCGCGATTCATCATCGATTCAGCTCGCGCCACCTAGATCAGTAGATTGACCACTAGATTGATAGTCACGTGATTGAAAATGGCACCGTTTGATTGGCTGATGAATTGTACATTCGGGTGCACGTAGTAGCGCATTGTATAGTCACACTGTATAGTATTGCATTGTTCGGGTGCGCATTGTATATATACTAGTCGCGCGACTCAAATAATCGCCCAATTTTATCAAACATGTTTGATTCGGGCGACTCAGTCGCCCGACTCGAAAATCGCCGGCGACTCAGTGGACACACTAGATGATTTTTCAGGCGATTGAGTCGCCCGACTCAATCGCCTGAAAAATTGCCTAGTGTGTCCACAGCTTAAGACAAACCTGAATCTTGGGAGCCACCGCTTGCGCGCATATAGGAATGGACACGGATGACGACTTGAATGCTGGATCTTCGACCACGGCATGACTCGTGACGATCACTTCTGACTCATACTTCCCTGCTGTTGTTGGACAGTACTCAATCTGCACAGAAACGATAGACAAATCTTTGAAACCTCGCCTCTCTTCTATTGTATATTATGTATTGTACTTTATTGTATTGTATTGTATATATTCTGTATCTATATTATGTATTGTGTGTATTGTATTGTATATTCTGTATCTTAATGCAGGAAAGCATTCACCCCGGCTAATTAGTCTCATGACATATTATCAGGATTATCAGTGCTAATAAAGTTACACAGACATTGTCATTGAAATTAATTTACAGTTACAATTTACAGCAACAACCATTAAAAGCATAAATATTTCTGAAGTAATAATAGCTAGATATAATAACATAACCACATTATTCAAACGAAAAATATTGTGAGAAATTCTTTGAAATTTAAAAAAAAGCTGTTAAAACGAAAACAATTCTTTACGAAAACTTTCCGTTGTGCTACCACGAACACGCACCTCCACAGTTTCTGTAGACAGGGATGCTAAAACGCACCGACGCTTTAACAGCAGTACTTGAGGTCTTGTTGCCATGTCAACCTGCTTGCCATCAATCTGTACCACCGGACTAAATGCCAAGGTCACTACCACCCACTTGTCTGTTTAAAAAACAACGATACTAACACTTGCAGAGATGCCAACACATATTTGAAGCAATCTGTAGTTTCTGGCCATCAAATTAGAAGTTACCGTCTACCCGTCTTTTGTACGGCATATTTTTGGATGAGACGGATGAAATTTGATAGAGACGGCATGAGGGCGGCCCAATTTTATATATTATACACCTTGTATAACTGACAACAGTACTTATAAGAATATAAATTCATATCAGATTCCTTTCTTTTTGGTATTTCAGACTAAATTTCCTCCATTTTAAGGTAGGGCCCTACCACCTTGGCAGCATCCTTGCTTCGCTCAGATGGTGAGACTCCCTGATTTTTTTTCCTGGCTAACACCCTGGCTAGTGATGAACAACCCACTGGAATCTTCAAGGTGAAGTTTGGTTCAGACCCATCCTGCTAATCGCTAAAGCTTGGTCACAGCTGTAATCCCGTGTACGTGCGTGTCCCCAGTAAAATACTCACCCGTGAAAGTGGCGGTCTGCCCTTCTGCTGATTCCACACTCCTGGCGTCTGCAATCGCACTGGTTTGTCGAGTAGACTACACAAAGTAAACCAAAACTTATATTTTCACGTTCATGCTCCACCGCAGTGGTCAGCAGGCTAGCAACTATAGACAACATTTCAGTCTCATGGTGGCAGGAAATTAGCTTGCTGATAAACAATCGTGGAAACTTCCAACTGACAGCTTGATGAACGAAACCAAAATCCTGAATTCCTATATCACATCCAAGTTTTTTAAGTATGCACAAAAATCGTGATATTTGTAAAAAATTATAAACAAGGTTTTGCGGCGCAGTTGTAAGACTGATGGAGGTGGCAATATGTTATATGTATTGGATTAACTGATTGAAAAATTTCATCGGATCTCTATAGTTCACAGGAAAATAAAGTTAATCTGAGTTAGATCCATAATAAAGTTATAAAAACTTACACTGACGAAATTTTCGTCTATCTAACCATGAGATAGACAAAAATTTCGTCAGTGCAAGTTCTTATAACTATATTATGGATCTAACTCAGATTAACTTTATTTTCCTGTATTGGATTAACATTATTGGTAATACACTTGTCATAATGAACAAATAGACATTATTGATTACAGATAATTCTGCCACGAACAACGACGACATGATCGCAACAACCGTCAAGCGGATCACCGAATCGACAACTGCAAACGAACATCAAAACGCTCGCAGCAAAATCTCAAGACAAAATTGAAATTGAAATTGAAAAAAAAATTAGATTAGGTATGTGGGTACGGATGATTTATTATGCAGTAAGTACAGTTTTATGCAACAAAAACCTAGACTAAAGTATCCCTTTAAAAACGAAACTGTGTAAATTTACGCGTTTTCTCACCAGGAGGTATTAACACTGGCTGCAGTGCTGTCCAGTCCCGTTGCGTCGTGGATCAGGGAGTGGAATCCGGTCTGGTCCGTGTGGAAGTGACCGCCAGTTGTTGGTCGATCATCAATGACCTTCACAGTTAACGTTCTTAGAGTAGCCTTCAGCAGTGTGCTGGCAGGTAGATCCGGGATCTTACACTCTGCAAAGATAACACGGAACGCTGAACACACGCACAATACACACATGATCAGGCTTCATCTTTTCACGCGGCCGATCGGCCCAGGTCCCGTAAACAGCCCTGTCTCCGGTGTCCGCGTTTTTTTTTCCGGCCCCGTCTAATTTTGAGATTCCAAGAATGGAAAACGAAAGTCGAATCGAGAAAGAACACCGGTTGTTAATTATAAATTCATATACTAAATAGTAGTGACTAAGCATAGTAACGATACATATGAATGTAGCAGAGGTTTTATTACATAATTCATCAGTTAAAAAAAAATCAGCCCTGTTGATTAAATTTTTAGGCCTTTTTTACGCCCCGTGGTTTTCTCAGACGGCAAAGCCTGAAATGTTCAAGATAGAACTGTTAGATTCTTTAAAAACTACCCATACACTACAAATCGACATGGTCTTAAGAGTTTCTGCTTCTCATCTGATCAAAACTGCCAGTTATGAATTGGAGCTTGGGGATTGGACTGCAAACTTATGATGACTTTTATCGATTTCAGTGCTTTTCTCTACTTCTATTGAATTGAACAAAAAAAAAACCAATTAGGATTTGTCATGGTTTTCTACTACTCACCATTTTTTTAACTGTGACATCAAAATAGCACAAGAGAGACAGACACATTATTTTACACACAAGCACAGTAGGACACTAGACAGCCAACTATTCTCTACTCAAGTCACTCATGCTAAGTAACACATAGCAGGGCCGCAGACTGTGGGGAGTGGAGGGGGGCAGCCACCCCCCACTAGATTTTCGAGCAAAATTCAAAAATAAGCTTAGTTAATAATCGTTAATAACCATAACGACTGATTAGCGTGATTTTTTTTGGTCACTTATGAGTGAAAGCCTTGTCTCAGACCCACCCCTACCACACTGGGGTACCGGTCCGGTAATACCGGAACGTACCCTGGTAACTACGCTGATGATTGTTAGTTGTTTTTAGGCGTTAGGGTTAGGCGAGTAGGTGTAGGCAGACTCGCGCTAAGACTTCGTTAGTGGAGTAGGCGAGGTTATGGTCGCGGCATATTAGATAGTACCGAGGGTACGTTCTGGTATACCGGACCGTAACCAGTGGTACGTTTCCGGCCAGTACCCATGGAGACATAGAACCCATCTTGCAGCTAGTTGGTGCACTTTGGGGGGTTTTTTTTTTTTGAATTGAACCATACGCAGACATATTACCGCATGCTCACAGTAAGCCAGGACACAATTGGATATCAAGGCACATCTGATATCAGGCTACAAGCTATACATGTAGGGATACTGTTTGGTAGGCAGTGTTTCCCCTAGGCCAAAAAGAGTCTGTGAGGATGGGTCAAGTTTATTATGTGTTGAGTTTGCGCGTTTCGAGGTCCTAGCAAAGCAAGCACCGCATGTGCTTCGCCGCCCAGCTAGGGGGGTCCAGGGGTCCCCAGAATTTCCTTTTTGAAAAAATGTGGCAATTTGGTGGCATTCTAAGGATCTAATTTTGTGCATTATAAGCACATGTTCTATTGAAGAACAGAGATTTTTGTCGGCGAGGCGGTGTTTGTGGACAATATTTCTGTGTGGCAGCTGAGATTGAGGTGGCGAGACGGCCGCTTTCGGCTCCGTGTCAATGCAGGGGAAACACTGGGTAGGAGTGTCAATATTGCACTGGCAGCAGCTGCATGCTATACTGTTTTCAGCCGTTCGTCTGATCACCCCCTCATCTCCGTAGCTCACGACGATTGCAGCCTCTGCTTCTTCGACGAGTAATCATTCGTAAAAAACCACTGTCTGGCAGATAGAGATTGCATTTAATGCACAGGCAAGTACTGGCAACGATTCTGTCTTTTGCGTGGCGGTGAAGCTTATGTCATTTTGCGTCACAAGTCATGATACTATATAGTATATATATATATATATAATATCAAAGTGAGTAATAGACTAAGAGATATCTATATTAGATCTCTATTATCTACTCTTGATATATATATATACAGGGTTGTAGCCCGGCTAATATCAGTGATTGCGTCATATCAATAAATACATATAATATAATGTAATAATGTTATTTTTGTTGAGTTGTTTTTAAAATTAATTCTAAGTGTATCAGTTGGGATTTATTTTGTAGATTGCTACACTAATTTTGAAGGTAATTCTTACACAAACTCAATGCATTTTTGTGGCTGGTTGGGAAAAATGTTATTTAAAGCTGAGCGTGCGGCGTCAGGCTCCTAACACCAGCAGCCGGCTATTACCAACCGGGATAGCTACAACTGTGCATACACCAACAATATAATTTGTTTCAATTGTGACAATATAATATATAATAAAATAAATAAAAAAACTAAATAAAAAGACAAATGCACTTGACAATAAAAAAAGTGACACATGACAAATTGTCACAATTGCAACTAGTGACACTACCACAATACATAATTATGATGAGTCCCCCCCCATATTAATGCCCCAATAAATCCATATTAATGATGGTGAACGCCACACAGCAAGCATGACAGCAGTACCTGGAAGTCCTTCGGTGCGATGACAAACTTGTCAGGGATGATCTTGCCGACGGACGACTCTGCCGCGTCGTCGCTCAACGTGCCCGGGCCGGCGCGGCCGGAGCGAGGTGGACGAAGGCCGAGCGCGTGCCGATGTTGTGCAGGACGAACTGCTGGCCGCGGCTGAGCTCGTACACGTACACGTCCCTCGTCTCCTGCGCGAGACCGCCGGGCAGCACGCGGCCGACCAGGCAGCCTGTCGACCCCCACAAAGAACGCTCTAGCTGCGGTCAACCGGTCAAGACACAGGTCAGAGGTGATCGGTTTAAAGTCAAGATGACCGGTAAAGCTGATGGTCAAAAGTCAGTATGGACGGTCAGTGATTTGACGGGTCAAGCTGATGGGTCAAGGTGTCGGTCAAGGTCAAGGTCAAGGTGATGGTCAAAGTCAAGGTGACAGACCGCGAATGTGAATACTCGTGTAATGTAAAATATATACTCAAAAATTATAGACATTCTTTAGCAGAAGCGTGCACTAGGAGAAATTGTTTTTGGCCAAGTCCTCGAGTGGAGCTTAGTGTTGAGTCGATAACATAAATAAATATATAATAAATAAATAATAAAATTATTAATAATAAATAAAAATAGATTAATAAAAAAATGAAAAAAATGAAAATGAAATCAATAAAATTAAGGGTAAATGGAAAGGTATTAGAAGTACGAATAAGTTACTTACCGAGTACTTCATGCGACTGCTGTCGTCTGTGATGTATAGTTTGCTTCTATACGACGTATTTTCCATCGGGCGAGAATATGACCGTTAATGGAATCGCCACCAGGTGGCACCACAATGTGCTGCCGAGAGACGACGGCTCCATCCTTCAACTGAATCTAGAAAGAGTACAATTGAGGATATTGCAATATTGCAATATGGATTGCGCAAACAAAGAAACGACATTAAAGTTGTACCAAAAGCAAAACTAGTTCAACTATTTTCAGCAATACAAACAACTAGTGCCTCGAGCAAAACTGAGCATCGCGCCATTTTTGTGGTAAGCGCCCTCGTTCAACTAATGAACGCGTCCAAACATTAACATAATAAAGTAAAAGTTGAAGTCTAAACTGATACATTAAAACTTGACATCCCGACTTCTAAAAAATCCTAATAAAACTAAACACCTAAAACTGAATGTTAAGAACCACGGCCGTAAATAAAAGTCAAACCCAGCCACCGCAAGGTCACACCACTAACAGTTTAGTCACCGCAGAACTTAAAGGGACAGTAAAGAGCTCCTAGGATTTTACTGCATACAACTGTAGCTTACTGTATACAAATCGCCGTATACGCCACATGTATGTTGTCACCAATACCGAATTGTAACTTGTTATAATTAAATTACACATCAACGCTACGCACAAATTTGAAGGCGGCCGGCATGACACCGCGACCGTGCTGCCACCCCCTGGAATTGCGCTATTTGATGACAATTTATTTTGCAACGTTACAAGAACCGAGGGACTAATCACAAAAGTGGTAATTATATTATGACCTAAATGCTATTTAACCCAAAACAATAATCATTTTTAAGCGCAAATTTATGCCATAGATTATAACTGCAAGCTATATTGTCGTTATAAGATATTACACTGCCTTTTTGCTTTTAAATGAATAAAGTCAAGAAACACCTCGTTCTGCTAGCCCTTGGCTGGAAAGTGGTTTTGCCGCAAACTTAATCAGATAGGTGCGCTTTGAGTGGCCGCACACCCCCATCGTTGTAATCAAAGCAATGTAGCTCGTTATTGGTTTAAAAAAGCATTAAAAAAAAATAATTTCTAATGGTGATGTGAACCATGAACCTTTTATGTAGCGTAATTCAATACGCTAAATTAGGCTGAAAATAACCGCTAGAACCTAGAGTAAACTCTCCTTTAACAGCCACCAAAGTCGACCGAGAGCACGCATCATACCAGGCATGTAGTCAACTCACCTCGGCGGCACTTGGGAAGGAGGTGGGGGTACAACAAACCACACCGCTGTCGGTATTCCGGAACAAGTTGACGACAGTTCGTTATCGACTACTGACCATGCATACAGTGTCCAATTGGTCCTTATGTTATTCTGCTCGTGCTGCTCATTGCTCATCGTTCCTCTCTGCTCTCTATATATATATATATATCATTAAGTTTTTAAATATTTATTTATTCTATGGAGGGAAGACGGCCACAGCCCTTAGCCACCCAGGTAGCTAGCAGGCTATCAGGCAGGGTTTTCGTCTGAAGGAAAATTAGACAAAGGAGATAATAAGGCCTTGTTGGGGTAAAATGGATGGCAGCTTCAACCAATGCAAAATAACGGAAAAAGTGTAGACCACCGGGCGTCACATAACTCAATAAACGCACAATGCGTAATCTAAATATGCCAGAAGCACGTGGTGATCTATTTATTTTGGGTGACACTATTTTGAGCAACGGGCGGGTATATACAGGAAGCATTTTCACAACAGGCGTGATGTTAAATTTGAACAATGGTGGTGGGCACCACCTGTGCCATCTTAGGCTATAATGAAAATATTGTTTGTTTGCCGCTCACGCTCGACCGACCGACCGCCAAAAAGGGGGCGACCTCAAAATTTTTTATTGATCTTTTTCCCATTTTTTTTTTTTTAAAATTGGTATCACTGTATATTAATATAAAGCCTGTAGGCATAACATTATATCAAGAGCGTATAAAGAAGGAGAGGCGTACAAGCGGTGAAATGCTGAAACCATGTGCAGGTATTAGTTGAATTAATATAACTTTCAACGCCATTTTATATTTTGACGAATCTTTTACGAGATTCTTCGACAGTATTAATTGGATCAGCTGTCCTAGCGCTTCTTAATATAAAAAACAAACTGCATGTCCGCTACAGATGGCCCCTACGGCTGAGATAATGAGGGCGGTGAAAATCTGGTATTTTCGCTGAAAAAACGCGACTCGTAGATCAGTGTTTACCCTGCGACTGTCTGCTCGCGGCTTTGAGAAAACTTCGGGAAACCTGCGTGTTTCCGTCAATAATCTGACAAATGGATGAATGACGTGCCTGTTATTGAGTTGCCAATAAGTGATGACCGCCTACCTGTGCCACCTCCACGCTGGATGTATAGTGATCTCTGAAAAATAAAAAAAAAAAAAAAAAAAGTAGTAGCTGACGCTGAGTCAGCGCTACATGGCGCTACACAGCGGGCGACGCTGAAGCAATACACTGGCCACAAA